ACTCCCCCACTAACTCAAACCAAGTCCCATTTTCCTTGGATTTGACCCCACTTTTCAGTCATTTTAACTCAGTTAATTGAACTAGGATAAGTCAAATTCCCCACTAACTCAAACTAAATTTTGTTTCCCTTGATAAAAACTTGCGCCAATAACTCAAATTCTGGTTCATGTAACTCACCAGGGATGTCATCCCATTAGCTTTTCTTGTCGTTTAATCGGTAAAAACACTCAAAACTAACACCACAGTAATTTGATTTTAATTAGTGCAACCAACTGTTCACATATTTGACATTCATTTCCCGATGTTATGAGTCAGACCGGATGCGGTACCCTTAGCTGTCACTGTATACTGAGGTGCTGAAAAATCAGTAAACTATCAATTATTAACCTGGCATGTTGGATATTCAATCGACCCCGGTAACTTGAACTCCCGCTAACTCTAACTGTTTTTCGTTTCCCTTCAGAGTTCAAGTTACCGGGGTTCTACTGTAGTATGCCAGTCTGTTCAAGAAACTGTTCACCTTGTGACTGTTGTTACATAGCATCTTTCTTTTTTTTAGTGAAGATATTATGTGAGAACAACATTTTGTACTTCTTGTTCCAAAACAAAACAAAAAAATTGAACTTTCATAAAAATTTATCACAGAGTGCATGTGTGTAAGTTTTTACAGCAATACCACTTAAGTGAGGCAGTTACTTGGCCCAGGAGTTCGTTAATAAAAGTTTCATTTAGATGACATTGACTTGGTTATACTGAAGAAGCTTTGTGAAATAATTATATATTGAAAATATGTAAATATAATTGGAATTGAGTGTCAGAGTTCTACAGTAGCAGAAACATTCTAGAGAAAGATTTTAGAAAACGGAACGAATCAGTAATAGAATATGCCCAGCTCAAGTTATGGTGCATCTTTATTTCACCAGAAGCTAGTAATGAAATTGGGAAGTTGAAACAAAAATTTCCAAATCATCTCCAATGAGTTTATTTTAGGAATGATTTCATAGGATATTAGGTATGAAGTCTGAACTATCAGCAAATAGTTTGAAATAGTTATTGTTTTCAAGCTGTGCTTGAGTAGTTTTGCTATTAATTTGTTTAAAGGGATGAAAAATCCTGATTAAATTTGATATTAAACAAGTTGAAATTGTGTATGAAGAGTCAAAACTATTTTTAAACTGTCTTGGTTGGCACTTTTTTACAGCAATGTCTGTCATCAAGACTTTCTTTTTGTCAGTTAAAAACGTTTCTTATAAAAAGAGAGAATTTGGAAGGTTTATTTTTTTTTTGGTAAAACAAAATATAGACTTCAAACTTTTGATACTCGTGACTATAATATGCTGGCAATACATACACTATGTAATATCATTTGTTGTCAAAAATTAACATTTTTTTGCTAAATTTTTGTGGGAAAGATTTTAAATCTCTTGAAGCAAGCTATTTACCTGTTGCATTTGCTGCTGGTATGACTATTGAAAGTATTAAGCTTTGTTGCTTCCGAATTGTTGTATTATTCCAGAAAATATCTTCACCCCTCTCGTGGAGGGTTTTTTGGTTTGACACCTCCCCCCTCTCCATTTCTCTGGAAATTCCAGTTTCTGTTCATACTTTGCTTTTAAAAATTTGACTTTCGAGTCCTTCCTCCCCCTTGGAATTTCCATTGACCAACCTGTGGGTGGTTGTGGATATTTTCTGGAACCACACAATTATGTCATAAAATTCTTTCAACTCTGTAAGGGTGCCAAGGGACATGTTAAACAAATGCTGTCAATTTTCGGAGCGAGAAAAGTTGAAAATCACATACGGCTCAATCACTAGCTGCATTTGAATAGTCTCTTTGTGTCTTACAACAGTTTTATAGACAGGCTAGAAAGTTAGGGCTAAAATTATTGTAATAAATACTCGATAAATACTTAATCGCTTAACTTACGAAGTGGCTCTAAGCGGGGTGAGGGTTGGTATGTTGTAACTTTAAGAGAGGTCAAATTCAGCCTAATTCTTAATTGTATTCGTAATTCTCCATTGTTGAATTTCTGCTTGGTAATGGTCATGTTTACATAATTCCACTGTGTAGCGCTTTTATATTTTTGTGAAACTGCGTGAGGGACAATATTTATTCAAATTAGAATCTTTGAATGTTCGAACATTGTGTGGTTTTGGGAACAAAAAGAACATTGGTTACTTACAATAAAAAACGTCCTAGTTTGTATGAATATCATTGTGTTTGTGTTTTCTCTGCGAGTAGTAAAACTCCGCAGCCCATTTGCACCACCCGATGTAGTCCAGATGATAGATGGTTAGACAACTTTATTTAAAAGTAAAGACCACTAATTTGTTATGGTTGGTCTGCAGTTGAGTATCGTAATATCAAAACCATGTGGTTTGATAAAATGGGCCGTTTGGTGCCTAGAAACGTGGCGAGAACTCTTTCAAGTAGTGCACTTTTGTCCCGTCTCTTTTAGTTCGGTGGAAGAACTGAACTGTTCTATATGAACGCCACATTCTCTCTTGCACAAACACAAGGAATGTTTGTACACTGCGCGTAAAGCAAACGCAGTCAGTCATCACTAGCTAGCTGACTAGTTTGCGTTGCACAGTTGCACGACTGGAACTATATACGCAAAGCCGTATTTTTTGACTGGAATAATTGCGCCATCTCTAACAGGTTGCCCGTAAAACGGGCGTTAGTGTTTGCCTAGTGAGAAGAATGAAATAGAAAATGGAAGACAGTAGGTTTTGGCCATTGTTAAATAGATTGCAACTCCCTTGGCACGTGTCTAGAGATTAAAACTCGTGTTTGGTATATATCACGAGTCAATGAAACCGCTACAATATGTATTTTAAATTCGAAAGGTAATACCAATAGCCATTACTTACATTCATTCAAGTAAAGATGTCAGCTTTCTTTCGTTCCTTCTCTTCTTGTAAGCTGTTTCTTTGTTGTCGACGAAAGGCAAAGTGTTTCACAAACAGCTATCCTCGAGACAAAGTCAAAGCAAACTTTCGCCCGCCAAAAAACGCATGCTGCCACGTGCGACGATAAGTGATTTGATTGGCTACTTTCCCGGAAGAAGCCATTTTTACTTGATTATTTCTACATAATTTTCTTTTCACTTGGTATGGAAAAAACATCTTTTATTCTCATTGTTTGCCACCGATAGTACTATAAAACGTATTTTCCTGCGATTGACCTTGAAATTAGCAGGAAAATATGCTCTTATCTTTCTTCGATGTTTGGTTTAGAAATGTGCACTGGTAAACACTGGTACGTTTGTGAGGTGCCAGGGCTTTCGCGGGTGTTTTGCGCAGCACGCAGCTTGGAGCGAGCCACACCAAGTAGTGTGTTTATGGTTTTGAGGGCGACCAAACTCAGTGGGATTTAGTGGTGAATCAATATCTTTCTGGAAACTGGGAGCTGAATAGTAAAAAACGTAAACTAGAAACTTCAAAACTACAGTGGAACCCTGTTAATACGGTCACCAACAGGCCACGAATATTTGGCCGTATTAACGGGGTAGGGTCAAACTTCATGACTGGTCTAAATTGAGTTGTGTCTTAAAAGGTATATATCACAATTGCACTTCTAAAGAACTTTTCTTTAATAAGCATCGAAATTATCGGAATGCAGATATATTTTTAAAAAAATGGAACTTCAATCAGTATACACTATTAACAACGGAGAGATGGACATAACTGGTTTGAATGGCCATATAAATGGGGTAAAATTATAAAGGATAAAATGGGATGGGCGCATTAAAGGAGTTTTATTATAGGAAAATTAGGCTTTCTGAAAAGTCCTTCGTCTTATTTATTCAGTACCCGCCGGACGAAGGACTTTTCCTGCTTGATTGCCGCCAATTTTAGCGACCCAAAAACGGGTCGCTGCGCTTCAACCAATCAGAGGTCCCCTGGATATCCCTTGGTGACCGACTTGTCAAACTATGCGCAACGAAACGTGACTTGCGGTTAACCTTTCGCGACTTCGTCGGCCTAACATATTCTACCCTGAAATTCATGAGGTCGACTTGTGGCAAGTCTATAGGAAAATGTATGGGCGTTTTACGGGAACATTTAAAGGTGGCCGTAATAACGAGGTGACCGTATTAACGAAGGGACTGTAAGGCGGGGTTCCACTGTATATTACAGTAAGAGAATATTCACCAATGGTTTGGGAAAAAAAAATCAATCAAAAATAATTTTCGAAAGATTACTTTATTAGTTTATCACCAACGTAAATTTCTCTAATTCCAGAGCTTTTGGATTTATAATACCTCCGTCGGCCACATGCATTTTCTCCCAGTTTGATTGGTTCATTGGATTGTCTGCGTCCTTAGCCTTGGATTTTCGTTTACAACAAAGCCTCGTTCCCGGGGTCTCTCATCTTCCCGCCCTACTGGAGCGAGAGGAGAGGCCCTGGGAACGAGGTTCTTTTCAGCATTCAGCTAAAACCGCTCTAATTTGATATATTACATATGTACACTGTTAAAACTGGCGTCCTGTAAGCTCACACTTTTAGCTCATGCAACCATCCTTTGAACAGCATGGTTCAGAACTTTTATCTTCTTCGCAGCTTCCAGCCTTCTGTTCCTGAAGTCCCGCAGAAGGTTGGAAATTGGTCAGTCGAGGACCGATGATGTCCAGACTTTCCAACGAGTTGATCGTAGTTAGTGTAGTAAGAGAAGAAATGGAGCGGATGTACTGTGGGTGAAGATTTCCAATGGACCTCGGTTCAGTATGTGGTTGATGTGGCTGGTTTTTCTCAGGGCGAAAGAATATGATGTACAGCTTGGGTCCGAAGAGACAGATCAGCGCCATTGAGCAGCATAATATCACGAGAAAACAGGTCAAAATGGTCCTGTAGAATCCCTTGGTACCCAGTGAGGTAGGGACGAAAACTGCTCCGCTTATGCACATAGTGACCATACTGAAGGTGATGAACTTAGCTTCGTTGTAGTTCTCGGGAACTTTACGCACTAAGAATGCCTGATAAGTGCAGAGCAGGATAAGTGCAGCGTTGAACGTGGCCCAGATCGTGACGCCCACTAATGACTCTGCCACACACTCTAACGTGACTTCGTTTTGCCCGTGCGTGACTCTCGCGGCCTTCCGGGGAGAGATTATGATCCAGATCGCCGCGGTAGAATTCTCCATCATGGCGCAGAGAAACACAAATACCAGCTGCCATTTGTTGCTGAGGAAGTACGTTTTTCCAGTGCGCATGGTTTTCACGCTGAAAATTCGTGCGATGCGATTGGTTTTCGTTAAGAGCGAGCCAATCACCATAGCAATGCCGGTGCTCATTAAAAACGGTTGTATATTGCAGAACAGAGACGTCGGTTGCAGAATGAAGGTGATTGGAAGGGTGTAACACCAAGCAAGACCAGACAGCAGAATGTAGGAGATTTCCCGGCTTGCCGCCTTTACAACTGGCGTCTTTCTCTGTTTAAACATCGTTACAGATGTTATAAAAACAGCACAGATGCCAACACCACAAGCGGTTGCTACCGCAATGCCAGCGCGGGTGCTGTAAACTTCAGTCACGGGGCTGACGTCACAAGAAGACTTTTCATGATTGGCTATTGATCCATCCGGGCAACTCACGCATGCTGTCGCTCCTGATTGGTTGGTCACACTGTTGCCATGACAATGAACACAGTTCCAACAGCACTCTGGGAAGTGTTTCTTGGGCTCCTTCCAAAACCCTGGTCCACAGGTAGGACTACACCTCGCAAAGGAATGTAAGCTGCCAAAAAGGTGTCGATCATACTCGTACATTGGCAAATATTTCAACCCGCCTCCCAAAGACCAGTTTCCAAAAACTTGAAAATGATATCCACCGCTGCGATTGTTCACAAAAATAATGTTGTAGGAAGCGGCCTCCGAGCTTCCACTTTCGTCAAATGATACACGGTGCCCTGTAGGAGACACGAAGGACGCGTTCTTGATGTAACCATACACGTCTCTTTGCACGGTTTTGGAGACATCAACGAAACAAGCCTTGTTGGAACACCGATACATGTCATGCAAACCATATGCGACGGCGTACACTGCGTCAATGGCCGTGGTGGTGTATGCTGAATATTCTGTCGGCTCACTCAAGTTCAATAGCTTCTCAATGTACCCCTGATACGCCCTTAGCCAAGGATTTCGCAGCAAGCGTTCTACAGTGATGTTCTGAAAATAAGCTTTAAACGGCTCATAAACTTTGCATTTTGGCTCTACGTTGATAAAGTATTTCAATATTTCTTGATTGTTGCGCAAAACCGAGTAAGAACGGGCAAATGCGTCGGAACCAATCCAGATGTATCCAGTCATGTTTTCCTCGCGCGCAACGTTTATGAAATAATCCGCATCGTTGAGCTCAGCAAACAGCACAATTACCTTTGCTTCGGGATGCTCTCGAATTTTCGAGAAAATTTCGCGCACCTTTGCTTTCGGCGTCCTCACGGTGAAGACCTCGTCCACTGCGATACAAATGCGGGAGTGCTCTCGACTGTTTGCGGCGTACTTAAATGACTCGATTCCCGAACGTCCGTACTCCGTGTCGGAGGCCACGGTCGAGACGAAATTCCAATCAAACTCACGGATGATGTCCACCATCACTTGTGCCTGTCTTGTGTCCGACGGAACAGTGCGCAGAAAGTTCTTGAAGCGCGAACGGTCGCTTAAAAGCCTACTGGTGGACGCGTAGCTTACAACCGGGACATGAAATAGCCCCGCTAGATTTGCAACCGCGATCGTGATCCCGCTGTAGGCGGCTCCGATGATGGCGACACCTTTATTCCTTGTGTTTACCATCGCCAAAGCGGAACCATTTTTCATTAATCCGCAGGCTTGAATGCGTTCTAAGTCTTCCGCGTGCGTGTAAGCCGCGCGGATAAATCCAAACTGCAGAGATTCTCTTATCGTGTGATCAACACTGTTACAAGTATCTTTGATGTCGACGCCCAGTGTGACACCTGGTAGCAAAGTTTTGTTTTTGTTGATTTGGTCGACGGCGTAAAGAATCGCTTCGGCGTGCTGCAGTCCTCGGAAATTGAAGGGGCCGCCGCAATGATGAGAGAACTTCTTTTGGGAGTTTTGCGCGGGATCTTCTTCTCTTGTACCCGGGGGATAGTGAACCGGCGCTAGGCCATCCAACATCACATTCCCTGGTGAGTAAATCCGTGGAGAGCGCTTTATCAGTGTGTCTCCTTCGACTAGGACAGCACTTACGCCGAGAAGTGCTACACAACGTACAGCGAACATCGTTCCTTAAAAATATCGAACAGCTGCGAAACTGAAGAAAAACTGATCTCGACTCCGCTATTGATTGCTTCTACAACCGTTTTTATTCATCTGAGCGCTGATAAAGTCCTTTTTTCTTGCTTCAGTCGTGTCCCGTTTTGCACTATCAGTTCGCCGCACCTTTTCGCTGTGTTGTTGTTGTTGTTTGGCTAGAATCTGCGACACAGCAATTAAAAAGCCTCTCTGGGAACAGTCCTGCCTTCGCACTACAAAACCATAAACAAACATAATAATAAAGTGCCCGTTACAATACTTTTTCCTTGGAAGAGATTCAAACGCCTGTGGGCTATTTCAAACGGTGAAAATTACCTTAAAAGATTCGCACAGATCAGCTCATTAAATGTGTCCTGTTACTGCGTTGCCGCAAAATATATACGCACAATAGGACAAATAACTGTAATAATAAGATGTGTGTAAATAAAACCGAACGATTTGACATTTCAAACAGCGCAAGGCTTTTAAGTGCTGTAATAAAGAAGTCTTCTGTATGATTTTTCTTACCTGCGGAATATTTCCGTGCGATTTTTGAAAGAATCAACTCAGTAAGGTTTCAATTGGCTCTGGTCCGGCCGGGTGATAGGTACCTTTTCTAAACCCACCAACGTAACTGAAAGGATAAAAAAAACTCCGCTTTTCGGAAATTACAAGCTTGATTCAGCTGACACCTTCACATCAATTGGTTTGACTAAGACTAATTTACATCTTCGATTTAAAATAAAAGCTTGACAGCAGTGCAAAGAGAGAGTTTTCTAGCAGGTGTCGGGCAATTATAAAACCTTTGAAAACCCACAATTCTTCAAACTTCGACACCTACGTTAGCCTGCGAGCGGAGATAACAAAAAGAGCCACGGACAAAACCGTTTTTTATTACTAATCAGTAAGTTAAAGGGTAAAATAAGTCCCAGGAAGGCCTAAGTATAAATTAAATTCTGCCCTTTAATTGCATCGTTTGTTTGCGCTTTTGATAGCATTTCAAACTTTCTTGGATTTCACCCGCTTAGTTGTAAACCTCTTAAATTTAATCCAATACTCTTTATCTTCTTCTGTTTCGGAGCACTTACCATTCAAGAAATTAAAGTTTTGCCCTACGTCAATAAAAGCAAATTTGACATTAGTGGCAAACGAGGTTCACTTCCACAGTAATAACTTGTCGCTTCTCGGCTAAATTATGTCCTGCAATGACAACTAAATTAAAAAGACGTTTTACTGTTTGTTCTAATTCACTTGCAATCAGTCGATAATGAATTTTTTTGTTCGGGTGGAGATTAAAATGCAAAAGTTTATAATAAAATATTTAGTGTACATTCGCCCAATTTCTAGTCTCGTCGTAGACTACGATTATCGAACGAGTAGTCCCTCTTTCCCTTAGTCCGTCGACGTTGACCGTAAATATATCGCTAGGAAAAAATGGCCGCGTGAAATCCTGGGGGCGAGACGCGCGCGTGTTTCCAATGCCCAGGAGTTCGCGCAGCAATTTTGTTCTTTTTTTATTTCGCGTCACGCACGACGGACTAAGCGAAAGAGGGACTACTCGTAGTCTAGTCTCTTCGTAAATTGACTGTTTACATGTTAGATACCAGTCTCCCAAGCCCATCACGAAGAGTCTTTAAAAATACAAATGGGTACCAGTTACGTTCCCTTTGGAAACACAAATTTCTGAAACAATTATGTTAGCCAAGAATCCTAGAAAATTATCTTCTTCTAAATTTGCAACTCGGACATCGATTAGACTGTTCACGGACTGTTTTCCCAGAGACCACCGATAATTGATTACTTGGCTGATTACTAAAATGACTGCAGCTTCGGCTAATCCAGGGTGGTGGTGCCGGGGGTGGGGGGGACTCCCATATAATAGTGACGGGTGTGCTCGTTGGAAAGAACCCCTTTTAAGATTTAAGATCTTAGTACCTTTAAAATCTCATAAATATTCTTGTTCTTCGACCATTTAAATCTTAGAAGGAAAAAAAACAAACAGTTAAAGAAAGGCTATCGATCAGTGACTTAAAATCCTGTTTCTTTATTAATTTCTACCCGAAGTATCAACTACCGGAAGTATCAATTTTGTTATTAATTTTTAGCTTGTCACCAGTGCCTCGCTTTATTTTTAAATTTATCATCTTTTGCTATAGTTGTAACCGTCACTTCAGGAGATGTATTTTGTAACATACGAAACGCCAAGTCATTTAATACAGTTAAGTTTTTTAGACCGTGCGTTTTCTATTTGTAATGTCTGTAACCGCTGTTTGTTTTCTTTCCTACTAAGATCTCGTTTTGCGGGCGTGGTCCCAATTCATTTTCACCCCTGAGAAGTAACAATTCTGAAACAACACATCAGCTGACAGTATGAAAAAATTTTGACAGCGATAAGACGATCCATCGAGTATCTTCTACTTGTTAAGATTTTTGAAAGCATTGTCAGAAATCTGTATCCTATTTATTTGGCTAATTTCAGTGCAATTGACCAGGACGTTAACAAGGCGGCAGTTGTTTAAGCTCTCGTCATCTTTCCTGTACTGACTGTAGCGATTGTTCTTTAATGAAATATGAAAGAGACAAATAAAACACAGTTGAGCGACAAATAGTTCCTGTTTCTGATTTTCCGGCTCAATACCCTAAAGGGTACCGTCATAACTTAAGCGGTGGTCATTTTCGATTGTAACTACCTAAGAGGTCCCACGACATGAATTTAAACCCCTAAAAGATACGAGCACCACTGTCATTTTAATGTGGGAGGCCCTCAGGGCTTTCTGATTGCAATCCCTTTGTATCTACTGGTGAAACTGTAAGTCACAGCGTCGTCATTTTCCAGGAGTGATAGTCACTCTGTAACTCATGTTGAGAAAACTTCCTCCGAGTCCCCTAATTCTATTTCTTCGCCGGCGGAGAAATTTGAAAACGCAGCTTTATTTCTACGGTTAGCCCTACCGTCCACACTAATCTGTCACGAAAACGGAGCTTTTCGAAAACGCTCTTAATTAAAACCGGAGGAATTTGATGACGCCGATTTTGAGTTTAGTATGGACGAAAAACACTTTGAAAACGGAGATTTTCGAAAACGACGAAGTCACGATGATTTCACGTGATTTCCCTGCACAAGTTTTTTTAAACACAAATCCAAAATGACCGGTGATTGTTGCGTTTTAAATTTCTCCGGCATAGTGTGGACGGAAAACATTTGATGCGTTTTCAGTGTGAAAACGCCGTTTCGAAATTTCTCCGACGTAGCGTGGACGGAGCCTAAAGTAAACACTTAGCTAGAAGTAGGTAAGCCGTTTTTTGACACCCGTGTTCAAATAATTTTAGTTCTTGCTTTGAATTGCAAATTCATTCTCACCGTGTAAAGTTTTATTAACGTTTATCCACGCACGGTTACGCAAAAACAGACTCTGCAGAATGTTAAGCTCCTCACTGACTTTAAAAACAAAACACAGTTCAGATTTTGCTGGCGATCCGGCTGGTTATTAAACAGCTATATTTGTTCATATTCTTTCACGAGCATATCGAGAAGCCTAATTAAACCATTAGCCACTCCAGAAAATTGTAAACACTTGAGAAGTGTAGAAAACATTGGCCTCAGGCTGTTTTCTAAAGAAAATGATCTGATCTTCTTTTTACAGTAATTTTTTTCAAAAATTACTGTCATGTTTTATGACAGTACAATACATGGTGTAAGCTCCTTAACTTGTTAAATAGTTTAGTTAACGTTTCCTTCTACCTTTACATTATCTTAATATAGCAAACAATTTTTTCTACGCACCTGTTTCCCACTCTAAGGTCGTAAACATTTCGCTTTAAAAAATGAAAATTTTCAAATGCGTAAAAGTAAAACCGTTTCTTGAATTTTCAGTATTTAAGTTCAGTGACTTTGAACAGTAATGTTTGCCTATGGATGATGTTCGCGGTTAGATACGTGTTTTAAACCACGTTCCTCGAGGCATGGTTTCAGCACTGAATCGCGTAAATTAGCATATAACTAACGTAGTAATTACTAGCTAGAACATAAACAGCAAACATTTTATCTACTATAGGTTGACCCAGACTGTGAGCTAATTGTTACCTAAGTCATGTCTCTGAGCAAAATAAATAAATAAATAAATAAAAGAACAGCGTCTCATATGGTCAAATGCTGTAAACGGGCCTTTCACTTAACAATGGTAAATGAATTAAATTTAGCAGTAGAAATGAATAATTATGTTTCTTCACGCAATTTCTTTTGTTCTTTCCTCTTCTCTAAAGCTCTCCCAACATCACGCAATCCGCCTCCTCGCCGGAGCTTTCCTCCTCAGAGAGGCTTTCGTTTAGCTGGTTCTTTTTGGTGTAACAGTGGTAGCAGACAATGCGTAATATCAAATGAACAACAAACCAAGTCAAAGCGTGAAACGCAAACACGATCCCCAAAAACTCTACATTGCTTGGAGAATTTTTCCACGGGTTGGGTCCAAAAAGGACAAACCCTGCTTGGAAAAACCAGCTTCCCTGCAAGCTCGTTAAATAAGCTCGCAAAAAACCCACGAAGTGAAAAAATTGGTCGGAAATTACAGCTAAGAAAAAGACAGCAGCGGTGACAAACACTAAAATGTAAAGGAAGGTGTGTAAGCGCACGTTGAGTTCATCTCGCCCGTGAAGATGAAAGCAAAACAAAAACCCTTCGAAGCAAAATGCCAACGAGATGACCAAATAGTCGAATTTTGGCGGCAGCGGAAACAAGTCAAACCACATCACAAGATCGAAAACGCCGCTAAGGCCAAAAAAACCGTACATAACTGCATGGGTGTAGTTATCCAAGTGTTGGGCGATAAGTTCTCCATCCTCGTCATGCAAGGTAGCTGCACGGGAAGCGGGGAGTTCGGCTAAGACGCCCAGCATCGCAAACACAACTTTTACAATGGGTTCCACGGGTATTGTGGAAAGCCTGGCGCCGGGACACGAATACCACACAGGTTGGACAGCTGCTCTTGATCCGCGAGAGCGACCTCGAGAGCGATTGCAATAATTTCTGTGACCGGCTTTTTGCAGAGTTTCGCCGATAAACCACCATACAGAGATTACCATGAACATCGAGCCAGGAAGAAGATGCCCTTTTAACGAACCCATGTCACAACTCAGTGTTTGTGCAGAGTCAGACGGTTAAACTTTGAATTGCTACTCAACCTGTTAACACCGACAAGTATATGATGTCCAACAGGTACATATAAGCAAACACACATGCAAATTGGCATGTTCGTGGAGAGATTTAAATGGATAGTTGAACATCTTGACGACAAACAATACTTTTGTCTAGTTAGCATACACTTAGCACTAAAAAAAACGTATTTTCGTCGCCTAAACGTCGACTTGAAACGGAGATAATGGCTTGGTTCGTGCAAAAACCAACGCATAATGGTTTACACCGTTTGAATCGAACTCCAAGTGTTAAAAACTGACTCTAGTGTACTTTAAAAGAAATGGAGAACATTTTTCGTGAGTTTCCCCCTACCATGGTGACACCTCGAGAGGCCAACGGTGTTTCAACCCGAATGTTGACACAGCTCTTATCAGGTTTTCCCAAATTGTAGAACTCTATAGTAAAGCTAACGAGAAAATGTACTTTTGTTTTTTTGTTTTTGTTTTTTTAAAAAAAGACCGCTACGAGGAAATAATGGGATTTATTTATAAATTTCGCCACTCACTCATTTATTCTTTAAAATATACAATATGTTTGCCTGCGCGTAAGGAGTTCAAGTTCTGTTTTAGTTAGTGCGACTTTTCAATAGCGGCGCATTCTTCTAGGGTGTTTTCTCCCCTCGCCCCTCCTGCCCCCTGACGATGGGACAGTGCAATTTAGACGATAACGAATCAATTCCCACCAATGGTAAAGTTGGAATTAAAGAACGAAATTGGCAACAGAACTGAAGACAGAGTATAGAAAGGAACAGGGCTGGTAACACCAATGATTGGAAATTAGTGATAAACTGGTTAATTATCGAGAAAATGAAAGGGACCTGAAAGACCCACGAGAATCTCGCTGACCTCGCTGCACGTATAGCTCAAATTCAATTTTCACCCTTAAGCCGTACCTTTTTGACGATGTCACGTTTTCCCTGGTTTTTTTTTTTTTTGTTTTTTTTTTTTTTTTTTTTCCANTTTGTTTTTTTTGTTTTTTTTTTTCCATTCACACAAAAACTAAGCCTCATCGCACGATTCATCATGGCGAATTTAGTAAATATGCGAAGTTTCATTAGCATCCGTTGCAAACTCATGAAAATATAAGACCTTAAACTTGCCAATTTTTACAAAGAAATGAATGACAAGGGACAGGGTTGTCCAAGGAAACCATACCTGTGACGTTGTTTGGATATCTGATCGTAATTAGCATACATTTTTACGATTACGACACCGCTGCTGTCTTTCTCTCAGTTTTCTCTTTAGTGTTAGTTTCGATTGAGAAGATATACCAAACACGAAAGACCGTGTATGACCACGTTTCTAAACAAACCAAACATCTCGAAGTTCGTCACGGAAAAATACTCCACTACGGGGTCGTTCTTTCAACTTTTGCCTCGGTGTTTTGAATTCGCTCAAGCACGGTCACTTGTGCTTGATATATTACTCCTAAAACCTTGACTCTTAACCTCTTAAAAGCTGCGACAATCAACCCCGCACCCCTTTTATGAGGGACGGCCATCAGGAATTGATGAGCATAACAGTAGCTTACAGTGTAGCCCTAAACTTCAAACTTGGTGCCAGGTGTTAGTAACATGACCCAACCAATGATTGAAAATACAAGATATTTATCCGATGACTGCTCAAATCCTTATTTCAGTTGTAAATTTGCATTTTAAAACAGGTGCAGGGTCTTTTGATGAGAATTTAAAGCCGAAAATAAGAAATTGACGATACGAATTTAAATTAATACCAAGTAATATATACCATGCAGAAAATAACGTTCTTTTTCTCCGCGTTCTGGCAAAGGACCTATTTACCAATGTCACCCACTAGAATCTCGCTGTGGGTAAATATAGTGCGTATAGATTCAATTTTCACGCTTAAGCGCTACCTTTTTGACGATGTCACGCTTATCCGCAAAAAATAAGTCTCACCGTACGATTTATCCAGCAGAATGAAGTAAATAAGCGAAGTTTCATTAGAATCCGTTGCAAAGTCATAAAAATGTGGGACCCTAAACTTGCCAGTTTTTACAAAGAAATGAATGACAAGGGGCAGGGTTGTCCAAGGAAACCATTCCTGCGATGTTGTTTGGATATCTGATCGTAATTAGCATACAATTTTACGATTATATTTTGTTAGTTTCTCTCTTTATTGTTAATTTAGAATGAGAAGATATATCAAACACGAAATAACGTTTACGTAACGTTTCACCCGCTTTCGAGGCTAGGTCACTAGGTTAAGGAACCTGTTTGTTTCAAAATTATGGCAAATGAAAACAGCCAGCTGATAAAACTGTTGCACATCAGTTTAATAATTAAAATCTTGGCATACAAAACAAAAGTTATTTACAAGGTCTGTCACTTATTTTACAAGAAACCGGACGAGATAGTCACGTGATACACAAACAACTTCTAACAAAAATCTTAGTTAGCCCGAGGGGGGAGGGGGACAGATGATCTTTCAAGCCTTCGCTCACTCCAAATAACATATATCAATCTTTTGAGAGAAAGTCAGTGATTTTTTTTTCACTTTAAAATCTCCTGAAGTGGCATGAACAAGCACTTTTAATTCCAGTTTGTATGTAACAGAATCACCTTAATTGACTAAATCGGTGTAACTAACCCTTTTTAATACAAGTCATAAATATCTCTTGGTCCTTTAAACAGTAATCAGCAACAGCCATTTGGGTCATGTGTTCATTATACTTAGTTCCTCCTGATCTCGTTTGTCGGTCCAGTTACTGATGACCTTTGCCAGAAAATTGTGAAATTCGTCTCTAACTGCTTCAGGTTCTTCGTCCAGATTTGTTTGCACGCAGGTTACTCTGGACAACACAGAGGCTGTGTGGAAGAGAATGGAATTTTTTTCTTAAATGTGTTACAATACATTTTCTTGCAACTAACAGGGAAATTCATGGTTCCAATCAATGCTACAAATGTACATTAAACTGAAACAACCATCGCCCCCCCCCCCCCAAACATTTTCTCAGATACACTTGCAATTTGCTGTTTAGGAGTACAAGTTAACTGCCTTGCCCAAGAACATGGGACAAGGACGTTGGCCAGACTCAACCCAAGACCTCTTGACCTACAGTCCAGTGCACTGGAAAATAAGTCACTGTGCCTTCCCAGTAAAAAGAAGCAAATATTTACATGTAACGAGTCATCTTACGTAGTTGTGTTCTTGTCGTATCAGCAGCTGATGGCCGGTGATGGGCAAACACTATGCACTGTGAATCCTTGAGCCCTTGGCTGTGTACAAATTGGGTGTACCTTTGAGATAAAAAAACAAAAACAATAAGGTATGGTATGGTACTAATAATTTGCATTTACCAAGAGACATGAAGCCCAGATGAGAACAAAGACATTGAACCATAACATCCCCAAACAGGAAAAAAAACTCACTCAAAGTTTTAGCTTGTGGGAATGGCAGGAAAGGTGAAGCCAAGTCACACTTGAGCATCAAATAACAGCTGACTGGGGTTAATTAATAGCTTATTTGACTTCCTTAGCAGGAGAAAGGACCAAGAACCTGAGCAGAGACAGCATCGGCTGCAGAAGATAGAGTAGCCTACAGCCCAATTCTCCACTAGGAGAACAAACAAATGATGTTGACTTACTTAGCCCAGGTCAGGACCAACCTGTTCTTATTCTTAACTCGTTCGCTCTGGACAGTCTCTTGCCAGCTGAGCAACCTTGATTACCGGTAATAGCATTGGCTGAATTGGGGGTGAAGCGCCCCCTTCCTCAACCCTCCTCTCATTCTTCTTTGTCTGGGAATGTTTTTTTCTAGGGCACTACACTGGACTCTCCTCACAACTTCTCCAGACCCCATTTCTAAATTTCCTTGACTGTCCCTGAATGCACATCATGCAAATTGATGCTAGAGCCTTGTCTACAAAATTACAGGTTAATAATACTGCTCTGTTTGGCTGTCACTGGAGGTGTTTTACACTAAGCTACATAAAGACAGTTACAACAATTTACAAAATAAATAGACAGTGACTACTTTATGCTTATGTACAGTAATCTGAAACAAATGCTGACGGTTAGAGTGGGAAAACTTGACAAGAATTGTGTAAACCCTCACCACAGCAAATATTACACTTTTCTGTTTACATCAGGTTATGTAAACCTGAGCACACTTTTCTAAGTGAAACTTTTCAAAACCACCATAATAATTATTTTGATTTGGCGCCCTATGTGACTCTTTACTACAAAAAGGACAGACAGTCATAATGATAACTCAATGGAAAAAGAAGCGAAAATTTCTTCTTGTCCATCAGGCAAGAAATGGACAGAATCACCCAACTAAAAAATCCATTACCCCCGGCTATTGGACACAACTCTCTTTACATGCCGCGAGTTGTTTGTTTTTTTTTTTCTTACCAAGTCTCTAGTTCCTTGTCTTGGTTTGCTTGATCAGGATTGTAGACGATTAAAACTCCATTGGTATCCTTTTGGAAAGCTGCCCAACAAGTAGAAAACCTGACATAGGTACAACAGAGAAAGAAATTATGAGAAATTATCAGAGCACAGTCATATAATTACCAGTAAAAAATATAATTCAAAATTCCCTTTCACATTGTGATTTCAAAATATCACCAGGCCTGATTTGTCAGTATCTCACAATATTTATTCATTCATTTGCCTCTGCCACAAATTTTGCTCAACTTTGTCCAGTTTAGTGGTAAAATTTAAAAGCGTTTTCTGGCTAAAAGTATATAAAGAACACAAACTTTTGACTGTCGTAACTAAAGTCTTCAACATTAGGCTTTTAGCCAGAGAACACTTTAAAATTTTACCATGACTCATCTTGGCTGCAGCCCTTCCAGATTTGCAGTTTAATAGTGCAGTAATGATGTGTCTATTTATAATTTTAGCTTAACGAGGGGGGTGAATAGGGGTATATAAATCTACTGATCCATGCCGTTTTTTCTCCCAATCCGTTGATCCACAAATACTTTCGTTCAAATCCAAAACCGCATTGTTTGAAAAACTTCTGTGGCGTATTTTCACTCCAACAATATGTAAGATGCTTGTTTTTAGTGCCATTCTTTCCCTGGGTGGGTGGGACAAAAGATCTATGATCCAAACTTCCTTTAAGATCCACAATCCAAACTAAAAGACAGGTAGAGTTCGGAGTCCAGGCCAAAATTCACAGCTGATCCATGATCTACCGTATTTGTAAAATTCGCTAATGATGAATCCATTCAGTTTATCACAAAAGTCCGTAATCCATCAATCCACAAACCTATTCACCCCTCTCCATAACAGAGCTAATTGAGACACACTAAATTACGGTTAATTGTAACCAAAAAATGGTAAAAAGTACAAAATCTACCTAATCTGAACTACATACAGATAGTAATCTACTAATAAGTATTTTAAAATCCACCCCCAAATATTTTCTCATCTATCTAATTTTAAGTTATGTACAGATTAAAATCTAATTAAAATCTGGCCATTTCTAAAATATATCATGGCAAAAAATTCACAAATCTCACAGTATAAAACAGGTCATGAACTGCAGAGGCTGCCGCAGTGAAAGTTGACTCACAGTCATTTTACAGCAGTTAGAGGTCTCATTTAATTAAGCTTAATAAGCTTACTAACTAGTCAACTTACTTGTGGTTTCCACTACAATCCCACAACTCCACTTCACAATTTGCTGTTTTACCGGGAGATATTTCTATCCCGTTGCATTCAAACTCTAGTATCCTATCAAAATAAAAAAATTTCTAGGTTAAAATCAAGTTATAGATTGGAAAATTCAAAATCCTGCTTACGGTTTCCATGTAAACGTGTAAATAAAAGCTAAGTACACTGTAAGTAAGCACAAACTGAGAAATTGCAAATTAAATCTGTAAATTCGTCGTAGTTTACCTGACACCTTGCGTTGGATGATATTCTCCCCCTGAAGTTTCAGTGGCATCGGAAAGGAAATTCGAAATTACGGTTTTGCCACTCTGTAAAAATAGAGAAATTTTTTATCGCTAAATGAGACTCCTATCCGACATGGGCGCTTATCGTAAGTTCATTTCAACCTCATTTTCCAATGTTGAAAAACCACAAGACTGCTCTGAAATGCCCAGAGACAAAGAAAAATAGATCAAATAGCATTACAAACAAAGCAAGTTACCTCACAAGGTCCCAAAACTAGAATTTTTGCCTTGAACATTCCGAGATAGACTGTTCCTCTCTTCCCTTTTCGATCTGGAAAAGAAATTGCGGGAAGATTGGGGAGAGTCCAGCAAGGAACGCCTGGAATTTGTTGTCTGCTCCTGGAAAATGTTACGTTCGTTATTTTGCTAATAAAAAGAGTTTTTGAGATCATCGTCATAAATTTTATTTACCCTCAAATTTACAGAATAGCATTACTACTAATTTCTTTGAACTGCCTAATGTTAGAAAGTAGAAATACATGAAAGAAAAATTAGAACAAAGCGGATAAATTTATGCAATATTACAAGACAAAATTAATTTAGAGAAGGTGTTTCAAAAACTCTGTTGATTTGGAAGTGCGTTCCAGCTCAAGTCTGCAAGTAATAATTAAATTATGTCATTATTCGTTATTTTTGAGGGAGGCATGGAAACAAGTCACCGCTTACTCCAGGCTGAGAATAGCATGCGTTACGTATTCATTAGCATGTATTAAATTAAAACATGCAGCTGTTTTACGTAAAACCTTCTGTAAAAAAAAAAAATTCTTTCATGAAGGGCTTGAGTTCGTTATCGGCGAATCATTGTTATTTTTAACAGGCATATGAAGTGATCACCCAATTTTACTTAATTTCAATTCAGAGAATTGGTCAGAATTTTGTCAATAAATTGCTGAACTTATTTTTACAGCTGGCTTGCTTTTTTTTCCAGTTACAATTCACAGAAACAAATTAAAGGTGAACAAACCGACTCTTGCAAGATTTTTGAGCATTTTAATGCAATAAAAAAGCTTTAACAAGTCAGAAGAACGGACTTATAATTTTGACCGGCAACTTACCTACCAGCTGAAAATAAACTGAAAAATTTAACTGAAATTGACAAAGGATGTGTTTACATTGCTGATTCAGCTCCGGTCCAAAACAGACTAAACAGATGGATTAAAAAAAAAAGTAAAGTAAATACAGCATCTGTTTAACATTAAGTTTACCATGACAAAGAATAAAACCTTTCCAGTTTTAAAATACTTAGTTTATGGATAGCTTAGAAATATAATTGATGACGTTTCTGTATATTTCTATACAATGACCACGATTTAGACTAATTGTGACAATTTGTATCTGGCTTTAAACGCTTAACAAATCTAGGTTTCATTTATGCCATGATTTTACGTGGAGATTTCGGTACGATATACGGCAGAGAGATAATTCTACCGCTGAAGGAGACAAACATTTGGAATACCTGTTTTCTTTCGCCGTCGGTTCACCGGATGTCCAGACACCGCATTCGATTTGCTTGACATTCTTTCCTTGCTATCGATGTAAGATGCTTCAGAAATGAAAATTTCAACCGTCGCGATCAATTGAAGGATAAAGCCGATTTTCGTGTGTTGTTGGCGAACGACAATTTTAATTAAAAGTTACTGCCGGGTCCAGACAAGATTGAAAAAAAAAGTTTGAATAATGAATGAGTAAACGTCCTCGACTTCCTACCACATGCTTCAAAGAAAACAAACAAAAAAGAAAAAAAAAACCAGCAGGAGTTAAATAAATGCAGGAGCCGAAACTACAACTGGGAATTGAAACGGTTTGAATTAAACTATGTGCATTATTAATGAGCTTGGTCCCGTTGTAGTCGGCAGGTTTCGTCCAACTCTCGAGAAGCCCACGAAGAGTTTCCGATTCTTACTATCCAATCAGAGAAAACCGCGAGCACTTACGAGAGCCCCGACTCCAAATCGGATTTCATGTTGCTTGGCAATTCCAAAGAAGACGACTGTTGCTCAGTCAATTATTGAAGAAAGGGATTCTGATTATTGTTCCAAACAGCAGGAAATAATGATTCTTAGAGAGACTGCATGACTGTAATTCTGAACTTACAAGCTGAAGTAAAAACTGTTTCCTAATGAATCAGCCTAATTTTGGGTATATAATCTGTATAATATATCAGAAAACCTTCCTTTTATTTTGTAGTCTTGAAGAGAACATATGCTCGAAATATAAATATTTCGAAAATCGCGAAGTGTTGCTGATATGTTCGAGGTGTTAACGACGCAAACTGTTCTCTAAAAGACAACCAGTAAACATCAAAGCTACAGTAATTTAGCGGCAAGTTTACAGATTGGACTATTATTATAAACATACATGGCTCAGTGCCAATGTTATCAAGAAGGAAAATGAGGAAAATGAGGATTTTCTTTTTCTACTAGAAATACAACATTGTACTATTCGATATAATTAGGGTAGAGTTAAGAGGATTGTAGAAAAGATTTCCCCATTGTAAAAAATATCTAGTCGCTCTGCAGTTCGAATGACTGAACTATTAAACGGAAGCGTTTGAGTTTAGTATATAAATAAATCGCAAACCTACCGGTTGTCGACGATGATGCATAAGACATCTTTCGCGACCTTTAACTTTGCAGTTTAGTGGAAGTGTATACTTATGAACTGAACTCAATGACTTCGCTTTTAGAAGCCTGAAGTCTTTTAAAATTTATCAGTACCGTGAACTAAATATATCGACAAAATACCGCGAAGGAACATCTGCTGCAGTCACTTTGTAAGACTGATTATTTGCCCGCGTCTAAAAAATATATGACTGTTTCTGGTAGTTTATTTACGATTGTCAAATCTTAATAGCAACCTGGCTTGGGACAATACCAGTCCGGCAGGGGCGGTGCAATCTGTCATTAAGATGAAAAACGAGCTCGTAAGATAAAAAAGAAAGAAAAGAAATTAATAAAAACTTTGGAATAACTAAAATGAAAGTTTTCCCTGCCGTTTATTACAGTGGAGAGGATCAATATAGTCGTAAATGTCAATTCTAATTTGGATTTTAAACTCTGCACTTTACACAAATGTTTTCCCACGCATTAATTATCAGGAAGTCTGTCTGTCGATTTTACTCTCGGAGAGAAGGGATACTCCCTTGTATGGGCTATATAGGTATGCGCGGTCCCAAAGGGTGTGGTTTTTGAGCTGGTTTGGTTTGAAAAGTGGTATCGATTTTGACAATTTTGGTCTGAAATAGGCTATGTTTTTCACTCTGCTTTGGCATTAGGCATTTTTTTTTTTACGAGGAACTAATATTTTCCGCACCAGCACCAGCAAATTTGTAGCCCTTCTCAAGCTCAAATGTTTGCGCAAATGGAAGCCATTTCTGGTTAGCTGCGATCATATATTAGAGCCGTGTAGAAATTTTAGAGGTCTGAAATAAGGTGTCGATATTTCGCTCAGGTCTGAAATAGTGTATGGACAATCTCAGATTTTGGTCTGAAATAAGTTAAGGGTTTCAAGGTTCGGCTTTACCAAAAACTTTGAGGATTATTCCGCCCCTCAGGAGTTTACATGGATTTCCATGTGACTGACGACAAACACTGAACAGTGAAGACATGATTGATCATCGCAGTGATGATATGCAATGATAAAAATGTCTTCATATCTTTCTCCACAGTTCAAATATATGATCTTTGATATATTCACTTGTAGAAACTGAACTGGGCGTTTTTATGACGTGTTTTTTCCACTACAATGTGCTATCTTTGACAGTTAATACAAACATCTCTAGTCTGAACATTTATTTCCCAAGCCACAGGAAAGACTTGCTCACAAGTCGGGCCGCGAAATCCATAGTCGCATGTTCTTACTTACTTCCGGAAACCCACAAAAAAATGACAAAATGCTCAACTGATCAGAAAACAATCAGAACAATCTCAACAATCAGAAAAAATGCTGAACTGATTTCCATGTTTTGATTTACTAAACCGTTCCCTGGAAAACGAACCCTTAGAAATAAAGATTTCCTGGTGGCGGACGGCGTGCACACAAACTCCGATAGTGGCTACCGTTTTCGGCGCTCGATTAACTTCCTCTTCAGCATGTTCGGTGCGTACTCCTTGAAAAATGGCCGCTACACCCCTGAAAGCCTACGTTTGTGGAAAATCTCAATTCTGTCAATCTAGTTATTGCTTGGCGGCATTGTCAAAATTACATCAATAAAGATCAATTGGTCAATTTTCTCTGCACTTTGTAAAAGAGAGTGCGAGTGAGCGCGCAAGTGGATGGGATGGTGAATGAGGGATCCACTGCATGTGCAGCTGGCTAATTATTCTTTCATTTCTTCCTTTTTCTGGGCGTAGACTGTCCTTTCAGAAGTGAAATATTTGCTGGAGTCCCGCGTAACAGGGGCAAAATTTATGGGAAAATGCAGAACGAAAACCTGCTGTTTATCCTTCCTTTCGCGAGATTTAATCAGGCATAGAGACAACATTACCGACTGCTCACTGGGAACGGCACATTCTGGTTCCCAGACCACGCGCTATTGCTCTCCGTTCGCCGACGTCGCCGACGACTCAACTGAGCGAACGTAAGGCTCTAAGGGATTAGAATGGGAGGCCTGAAGTTCCAGTAGTCATGACATAAGTACGAACTATTATGAGCCAATAATCTCGATAGATGTTTTCACGATATGCGTTTGTGTCGGAAATGGTAACCTGTTATGGCAGCTAGAAGTCAGGAAATAGCCCTTGCTCGAAGGGCAAATGTTCTGCACAGCTTCGCGCTCCTTTTATCCACACTCCCTCCTCGCTGAACACCTTCCTCGCAGGCTACAGCTACTGTCGGGACTGGAGTTTTTAGCGGACGTTTTAAGAGCTGAAATCTTTTAGAAACAGCTGTTTAGTCTTGTAAGCGAGATCTAGATCGAGTTTCATTCTCACAGCATGGTTCTGTCTGAATTAGTATGGCTTTCCGTTCATACAGTCGAGAAACATCTTTTTGTCAGCCATGTTATTTCTCATCTATGTGTGGCCGCCCTGATCCAGGTATCTCGAGTCGGTCACAGTTTGTCCACCTTCTCTCTAAACAGAGAGCGGACCTCTTGAATTCGGCTAGCCATTTGCTAGGCTTTCCTGCCGCTCTCTCAAGTCCGCTCTATGTTACTCCCCTTTGGGGGAGGAGCGCGGACTCTTTTTCCGAACAGCAGCTGGTAATCGAGCCTAGCCATTAAACCGAGGAAGTCGTCACATTTTTCGATAACAAAAGGTGCATTTATCGTTCTACGAAGAAGCTAATATGCGTTATATGCGTGATGTTGGTCAGTCAATTATTTCATGTCCGTTCCGCCATTATTATTATTACTATTTTTGTTTTCATGCTTATATTAAAAGGTATAATATTAACAAAAGAGGCTCGATCAATAAGCGCCACTAACAGTCCAATATTGCGGACTGTTATTTTCTCTTCATAAAAAAAAACCAAATATGTTTACGAATCGAACAATTAAACCAGCAACGATTGCGCATTCTATATCAGGGCTGTTCCAAAACTGAAAATGTTTACGAAACACATTAGCGGTGAATTTGTTTAAGAGTGAATTCTTAATTTACTTAAGGGTGACATAATTCTGTTTAGGATTAAACCACTTTTCATTCGATGCGTTTTTCGTCGGTGTTTTTCTTTGCAAAAAAAAAACTCTACCTTAATAACTGTTAAACGCGATGATATGTTTTTCTTCTGATTACGTGAAGTATATAAAGGAGCCACAAAACCCAAATTAAATGGTTACATGTGAAATTTTCTTGGAAATAATAACTCAGGCCAGCTGCGCCGCTTTGCGAAATTAAAAAAAAAAAATTGCTTTTAAATTTCGTCAAGGTAACAGTCATAGATTAGGGTATCAATTCAAATTTCCCTGACGGACTGACTGCTTTTAATGTCATATTCTTTTTGCTATATGTTGTTTTCATTCGACGGTCTGTAGAAAAGACGATCGATTCGAATCACGCAATTGCTAGTAGTTTTAGCCCCCTTCGCTAGATCGATCGATTTTCGAACGATTTTAAGAAATATAGCGCGGGAAATATAATTGGCCATGTTTTTAGATTTTAGTTTAATCTTCGCGGGCTAATGAAATCTTTTAAGCTTCTTTTCGGATCATAAGATCAATTGAATCCTATATTTTTTGGAAAATTCTTCCATCTCAGTTCAGCCGCTAGCTACAATACAATACTAAACACCCGTCGATCGAGTAAAAATCCGATCGCAAAACGCGACCATTTTACAATTATTCCAACGCAGAATCTAACTTACCAGCATTATTTGACTCTCGACTGTGTTTGTTGCTTCGTTTTGATCTTCCAACTGGGCTTTGCGTTTCTGCTCTGCTCGCTGACCGAGTTGAATGTTTTGGTTTTGGGCTGCTAGCTGGCGGTTTTGCCGACATAACGAAACCCGAACTAGTCCGTTCAAAATTAGCGTTATTTGTGAATGAATATCAGGTGTACTAAATATGCAAGTTCTACCACGACCGGCTTTTGACATTTGCGTTTTAAGTTAGTCAACTTAATTTCATCAAACATGATCGGTACAATATAATGGCATTCGTCAACCCCCCGGCCACACCAGTTTTTTGTGGCATTTTATCAGTTCTGTTTACCAATATTTAGTATTTGTTTAAAAACCATATCACCGAAAGCCAATAACAGACCTAACATTCGCGTCTCAAAACTATATTTGTTTTTTTTTTATTCAAGAGCCATCGGTCATTCAAGCGAATTTATGCAGAAAGAAAGGAAAACTATGTTTGCACACTACGTAAATGTCATATTTATAATTTACTTAAGTCCTGCGGGGACAGACTGACTTACCTTTAATAAAATTACTCATTCCAATTAAATTTGGTCAAGGAAAGCAGTGCTTAACATTATACGACTCAAACGGTGGAAGAGCTTTATGCTATTGTTTTAACTAACACGGGTCTCCATAGCATTCAAATGGCATGAAGCGGTTAGAAGGTATTTTTTGCACTAGAAAATTTTTCCATCTGGACGTGTTTGTGTGTGTGTGTATATTTTTTCCTCCGTATAACATGCTTTTTGTTTGGCTTACTGACTCGTCACCCCCTCAAAAGTCAAAAGGTCCACTCCTTAATTCTTCCATTTGCCCTTCCCCCTAGATAGGGTGCAGCTGCTTTTCGGCATTTGGCAGTCAAGCACGCGCCTCCGTCTAGCAACTGAAGCTGCGCGTCTCACTCAAAAACCTAGACGTCTCGATTCGGAATCAACCCAAAGGAAGATGAAACGTACGTTGGCCTTATTCCCAATGTAATGCCTTTCAAGTTATTTTAAGACCTCAGGTACCCAGTTCCTCCGGGGGTAATGTAATCATCATGCACGTTGTGTTGGATGAAAATGCATCTAAAACGGCTTGGGTTCTCCTCGCGAGCAAAACATGGCGTCCTAAGATTGGCTATTTCTAGACCCTCCTGGGAAATCCGAAACTGGGAGTGATCTAAAAATAACTTTAAAAGGATTATCTTGGTAATAAGACCTCTCTTATCCTTCATTCTATCTTGAATCGATCATATTAATGATTAGTCTCCCGCGCCCCACATACGCACAGGCAGTGGACTTCCGTACGGCGCCAGCGCATGCTACACAGTACCTTCTGATCTTTGCCTCAAGCGCATTTCTTCCTCGATGATTCGGCTGCTTTCGGACGGACGGCGCTGATCTTCATAAATTCGGCTGGTTAAGGATTGACGTCGCTGCTCTTCGTGAATTCGGCTGCTTTCGGATGGACGTCGCTGCTCTTCGTGAATTCGGCTGCTTACCGATGCACGTCTTTGTTCTTCGTGAACTTGGCTGCTTACGGATGAACGTCGTTGTTCTTCGTCAATTCGTGTGGTTGATTGACGTCGATTTACGGATCCTAGGAGAGGCAGTAAAAATTGAAATAGCTTGTCGGGACAGGAGCAACCTCGTTCCCAAGGCCTTTTCCTTGAATTTTGGAAGGGGCACCCCTTCATAAAAATGCAGCAAGGGACCGCAAACGAAAATGCTGGTGGCATACGTAAGATCTGCAAAAGATCTATGCTAATTAAATTTATGCTAATTAAGATCACATATCTAAACATCGTCATGGTAGTTTAAACTTGATAAATTATTAATGAGTGTTCTTTATATCCTTGGGTTTTCTTGATATCCTTAAGATTTCTCTCCAGAGATTATTTATACCCACTATGACTAAAAACGTTCCAGTCATTCTCTCGCATCCCTTATATTTCTCATATATATCAACGAACTTTCCCATATACTCTTGGGGGTTTTCTTATACCCCCAGGGTTTCTATATCAGGGAGGTTTTGCATGCGTGATTATCCTCTCACCCCCAGTATTCGCGGCGCTGCTCCTTCGGCGTCGAGGGACATCTTCTGTGTGAAACGGACGACCTGGGAGAAAGTATATGAGATCATAGGGATGTAAATATCCCTCACCGTTCATGGAAGTTGAACTGAGCTATTTTGTGTGAAAGGTAGTTCGAGAAAATCGTCGGGATCAAATAATAAGTTATAGTCAAAGTGATTTTACATACTTTTGCCAGCAAAGCTAGCAAGACTGTGCTTATAAATTCTGGTTAATTTGACTGCATAAAAAGCGTTTCAATTCCAAACTTAAGGCTCTAGTAAACGAGGAAATATTCTTACAAAGTCACTGTTTCCTACAATTGTCTCCTTCAGAAGCAAACGGGGAAGCAGTTGTTCAGTATGGTAATAAATTGTCTCTACAACTAAATTGAGGAACTATTTTTTGTCACTCGGAAACAAAATGTCGCCCAGTTCCTAGGCCTCGATATTTTGCCGCTGCCAACTGTGTTTGCGGTTATGTTCTCTATCTCGCAAAGTCACCTAGAAAAATTGACCTTGACTGGTCTGAGAGACAGCCACACAGGAACTATGCAAAAGTGAAAGTACGTGTTATAACAATATGCCAAGGAAAAATCTTGCAATAAATTTGACGAATCATTGCCTCTTCTTGTTAATCCCTTGTCTTTTAAAGAATATCTCATTTCTATTTTAGGTGGCGATGCTGATACTTGCGTTTATGAAACAGCTATTGTTGCCTTTCCTTAAAAGCTTCTTTATTTATCGCTAAGAAACTCGCAATACTCTTTAATATTCGTAACAATGTTCATAGGGTTTTAACTGTTTGAAATTCTTGTGACCGATGACATAAATTTTAAATATCAAAATCGTTCACAGGATGATTTATTTTTTGTCCATTTTGCTTGTTCTTGGCACCTGGCTACAACATTGATCAGTAAAAATATTGTAAAAATATTCAGCCTTTCTACATGCTAGGCCAGCAAATAAGGTCACAAGATTTCCATTTACCAAAAATAACAAAGCACATACCGTTTGGAACATTCCCCGAAAGCTTTGGATCCATTTAACGCTCGTAAAAAATAGACTCGTAACCGGTGTGTTGCGTACGTAAATAACAAAGCCCAGGTAAAAATAAAGCCGATTAGTCGCTAAAGTTGAATGGTAACTTTAATTATATTTTAGGAGAAGGCTGTAATTTGCATCCATAATAAGGTAGAAGTGTCACAGGAATACATTTGTTTGAAAAGCTTGTGACGGAACAACAACAAACCATGAAAAGATTTTATCAGAATTAATAACGTTGTGTGCTGTAACGGGCTAGTCATTTCGATGTAGATTTGTCCGAGATATTGAGAATACACAAAGGTTTGATTAAAGTGACTTCGGCATTGACTCGTTAATGTACACAGACAGCGTGTCTACTTAAAGTGAAGTTAGCTCAGAAAACCATGTAGAGGCTGACGAACAATCTTACTGGGTTCTCTGTTACGAGGCTGGTCGACTGAGATGCGATGCCAAGGTTCTATTCCAAGAATTCAAGCACATTAGTTCAAGTAAGAGAAGAGGATAGCTGATGAGTAAATTGCTGGGTAATTAAATAAAAACGTGCGCCTCGACGAAGGAAAAGCAAAGGTCGAGATACAACATCTGAAAATTATATTCACCTACAGAAGAATGAATTAGATTTTTTCACATAAATTAACATCACCGCAAATAGCTTTGTGGTTATTTATTCCAAATCTGAGAAATCTCTAACAATAGCTAAATTGTAGGCTAAAATTTTCTTTCTTACGATTGAATAAGGCACATTTGACTTGCCGCAGGTGCAGACACAGCTGGTATTGATACTCGTTACCAAGGTCGCGCGGCGATTAGGAGAACATGAACTCCTACCCAGACGCTCTCGGTCATCCTTCATGAAGGGTAGCGATTAGTTATACCAGGAAAATTTAAGTAATTTTTCTGATGTAAAAAAATCATTTCCAAATTGAAGGAAATTTAAGGTAGCTAAACAGCCAGGGACTCACATTAAACAGAAAATAAACGTTCGTTACCACTGCGAAGCTTAACATCAGTGAAACCAAGAGAAGGAGAGGCCAGAGAGTGAATCCCCAATATAGGCCGTACAGCCCAGGTAATCCTCCTAATTTTATCTTAGACATGGTAACCATTTCTTCTGCGGATGTACCTGGCGCGTTGCATGGAAGTTTTCCTGGAGGATTTGTTTATGTTTCGTTTCAAAGCGAAGGAAACTCTCCAACGCTGTGGGGTAGCTGATCTTCACTTGGTCAAACCAATGGTCATTTTACCGAAACTGAGTACCTCTTCCAATGACATTTGAAGATTTTCAAGGAGATACATCATCTCACAGTTAAAATTCAAGTTTAATTGTAGAACTGTACAAAAAAAAAAAACCGATGTCGCGACTCACCTAGGTTTTTCGCGTTTTCAAATGTCAGTGTAGAATGGAAGACAACTTTTGATTCTCAAGTTGGGAAATTGCAAGTGCTCATAGTAAACCGTGTACGTCCAACAAGATAAGACAAGCTACGGTGCTCACTTTTGTAGTGACTTTTATTAAACTATCAAAGGCTGGCACAATCATTTCCCGTAATTAAATTACCACTAAGATTGGCAAAGCCCTGCTTTCCCGGTCTGAGGATACCAAACCAAACCATTCACAAATTTCTTTCAGCGGTCTTCGGGAACAGCGCTCCATTACCAACTCGCAAACAAATTTAAGGTACAAAACAAATGCACCTTTCTAACCGGCCAGGAAAACAAGTAACCAAGTTCACTTCCCCCGAAGCTACGCGGAATTATATTCCGTTGGAATATCGTCGAGCCCGCAGTTTACCGTGAGACGTTGCTAAGCAACATCACTTCTTCTGGTAGCGCCTTCCGGACGTGAACACTTAGTGTGTTCGGGAATGCTCGGGTTATCTCTGATTGGATAGTAAGAGTCGGGAATTATTCCGAGTGCTTCGGCGAAGATTTGCTGGAAACGGCACTTGTTTTCCAGCCTGACAGGGGAGAGAACTTAAATTTTTTAACTGTCCAACCTATACCCAATTAATACCAAAACAATACAGAATTAACTAGTAAGGATAACCCGCTATAAAGAACAATGTTGCTGTAATATCTTATCGAAAAAAAAAACTCTTTTTCTTTCTTTTTGTACATAATTAACAATTTCTCGAGGGTAGTTTTTTAAGTCTAGCTACCATTTTTCACAAAAACATGATAGACTGTCAATTAACATGAATTTTTTTCTTTGTTTTTAGAATACCTAATAATTATACAAGAAATTCAAATGAACATCAGTCAAAATAGGTTCTACACAAAAAAATACGAAAAAAAGGCCTTTTGGAAAAATCATTTTTCAGTTTTGAACAAATATATTTTGCATATGTACACAATTTCGACATAATATTATTAGAAAATTTTGTAACATAAATAATTGTTTACTAAATACTTTTTTGGTTTCTAACCTTGTCAAAAGAGTCTATTAATCAAAATCAAACATGAAGTACGGTTTTCACAAGCCAACCGATTCACCTTAACTAGGCTGGTATGAACTGAGGTCAGTCAAAAGAATGATAAGGCCTGGAGGGTAAAGATATCTGTAAAATTTCGCTAGCAGGAAAGGAAAGTGCAACACAGCAGTATTTGAAAATAAAACATTTTGGTGGAAAAATCGTAATGACAAATGACAATTCATGTTTCTCTCCAGGCATCGATGTCAGCATAGAATTTCTCTTCTAGCCCTCCGTATATTTCTTACTGTCCTAACTGGGGGACTTGCATGATGTATTAACTCTTTTAGCCCTGATGTCAACTTAGAACAATTCCTATTTATTGACCCTCAGGTACTTTTGGAGAATATGAAATTTGATCATGTAGCAAGGCCATTTCACCAAATCGATTATTTACCACATCCTTAAGAGTTGGGTGTTTCACTTTGCAACGCAATGTGAAAAGAAGCCGATCAACACTGAGCTTAAAGAATTAAATCTAATGACAAAATTATCCAAATCATCTTAACACAATAAAAAATGTCCCACAATCTGCTGACAACGTGGGCCACAGTTTAACTGTTTGAAACATGGAGTCTATCTAATGTGAACAACCTAAACAACTAAGTGGTCAACAATGGCTGAAAAAAAAAGTTATGATCCTGCCACTTCAGACTGCCTCCGTTCTCCATTCTCTCGTTCTTGAAGGGTGACCAGCTTTTCAAAACAGGCAACGCAAACCCTCACCGGGTCATAAAGCTGTTCTTCAGGTAGTGGTACTCTCTTTTCAGAACACGTCCCACAAAACACAAGGCCACAGTTCCTAAACATTTTTGAAACAAAAGTTAATATGAGTTACTGTAACAGCAACATGGAATCTTTGATTTAAGTGTGCTGCCCTGTTCTCCAAATAATGACCCTATTTTGGACCATTCTCAGACCTGGCAATTTGGACATTTACATCTATATATATATTTTTTTCAAACAAAGACTTCCAAACCCTCGATTTTTTGAACCTCCTGAAAACTCAAACCAGAAGTTGTTTCCCTCCCTTAAGTCAAACAAACACTGAAATCTTTTCCCCAATTTCTCAAACTACCCAATCTTTCAAACCAGTTTTCATATCCCTTGGAGGTTTGGAAAATCGTGATTTCATGGTACTCCTATTTTCTTCTTTTACTTAAAGTTGAAATGGCCCAACAGCAAGACATAAATAACACAATAACTTTATATGCTCTCATGGTTTCCTTTTACCTCATGCCCAATTCCAGATGAAAACTGCTTAAAAGCTATACCCTTGAGGTTACACATACCAAATAGCCACCCCCAGCTCTGTTTTGAGTAAGGAGCCCAAGGAGGGTTGCACTGATTCTATGACAGCAAAATCCAACAAAATAATACCTGCAATGATGTTTTCTATTGGCAATCCAAAACTGTGTATCACACTTGGCACAGTTAGTAGCAGCATGGTCTGGGACCCACAGTGTAGGCTGCGCCTCATTCTCATCTACTTGGATCCAGCTTCCCTCATCAGTGCTCCCAAGAGAGAGGGGAGGCTGGTCTCCACTAACATTTGACTCAGGCAAGGAACACTGGAGGTGAAAATAGAGGAACAAAATAAATACACAGATTTTGAAATACACAAGAGTTTCCAAGAAAAACACAAATGTATTGTATGAGGAGAGAACTTCAGTATTGGAGATATATTTCTGCAAATTTTCAGCTGATTTTTTTGATGTGGTTGACAATTTATTTTCATGCATTAAAATAAAGAAGTTGTTAGTTGTTGATTCTACAAGTTGCAGATTAAGCACAGTTTGTTTGCAATGGGGCAATCTTTATAAATAGATAAGTTACATTTTCATCCTTTTCCCTTCAAACATAACGCATCTAACTGGATTTGCTGATTGATAGGTGTTTTTTTGCTTTATGCTGAAGTTAACTAAATACTGATATCTGCAAAGAGAGGTTTGAGCCAATAGTAAGTTGTCCTGAAAGTTGACGACTCTGGAAAATGTCACAACAAATAATCCTATCTTTTTCCTACACACCACTTCATCAGCAAGATCACTGGTCTGTCCTGATGCACCTCCTTCGCCCCCTGTTGCCCGCCTCCTCTGGACATCCAGGAGCTGCCTTTGCAATGACTCTACCTTAGCCTGATGCACCATTTCAATTTGCCGCAGCCTATCCTGTACTGGGTCAGAAACATGTGTCAATCCATCCACATCCAGGTACCTAGTGAAGAGTTCTGATGAACTAGGCCTTAGTGTTGATGTGCTAGGAAATGCCTCTCGAGCATTGCTTGTTAGTGTTGAGTCACTTGAAGAATTGGATGGTGGAACAGAGGTTTCTATACACTCTGTCCCTTCTTCATCACAAGGGATATCTTTACTACAGTTTGAACTGTCTAATGTCAAATGATCAGAATTGCAAGTTTCTTGGAAAATTTCCTCACTGGTAGAATTTATTTCTTCAGGTGATGAAACATTCTCTTGCATCTCTTTCAGTGAATTATCAGTTGAGAGCTTTTCAGACAAGGAGGAAGTTTCATTGTCAACAGGAGTTTCTCCTTCGCTTGTGTCTAGAATAACTGTAGCCGTACTGCTTGTCATGCTACTGCTTTCAATTTCTTTGACACTGTCTTCGCATGAAACAACACTTGCCACACAAGACTCTGAAGTGCTAAGATACAAACTTCTAGAATCACAAGCAGCCGAATCACTAACATCCTCTAGCGTTGATGTGCTCCCTGAAAGGTCATTTTGTGAAAAGGAGGTCCTACACTCAGGACAACTCTTAGATTTTAAGTCTCTATCTATATTACCAAATTCTTTCCTACTGTCTTCTTTTTCTTGCTGAATTTTGAAACAGTCTTTGCACATTAGGTTTCCATCAGACTTGGATGCTGTAACGTGAGGGGTGGGTGTGACCTCCTCCTGTTGGTCAATAATGCCATTACCACTAGGGAATACTGGAGAGACAGGAGTAACACAAGCGCTGCTCACAGAGTCCCCATAGTCACTTGTGTCAACATTCTCCAACACAGTCTCAGAATAAGGTGTATGATATGCTAGATACACAGATGACCATAGCTGTAGACAACGAGGTTGACAGGAGGCCTGGAGAACCTAAGACAAAAGACAACAAGGTGTAATATCCCAATGATAGTACAGTCATCATTTTGAAACACCAGACAAATAATCTCTGTGCAACGTCCTCCCTTTATGTCCCCTGGTTATTTGCAGTGACTGAAGAAGTTCTTATTAATGTTAAAATCTTTCCATGATTTCTTGCACTTGCCACCCAAAATGAAATCTTGCTATTGGCACCTTATGACTAACCATGCCCTTGCAAATGATACTATTATTCTGCTCCACTAAAACGGGGAATAGATAATGGCATTTCCTTGAGGCAGTAAGAACATAACTACTTTAAATTCAAACAACTGTCTAAGCCCTACCTGTTCAGATGACGAGGAATACAAGTAATTTTTGAACTCTTTTCTTCTCAGCTTTAACAAAGACCACACAGAGAACGTGCGCTTTACAATGTTTGCCTTGAGACGTTCACTTTCACTGTTGCAAAGGAAAGTTCCAAACAGGCAGGAATATACATGTTGGGCCAATTTCACCTGTTAAAAAAAAATAGACTTTTAAATTTCCGTGGAAAGACTTAATCCAAAACTGGGTTGACAGTCCAAACCTGTGTTACCAGAACTAGAAGACTTTAATTGCCAAATTGCAAATATTTCCAAACACTTGAAGTTCCTCAAATATCTCTCTTCTTAGCATTTGCAATGTGGTCAACACAGTTTTCCATACATGTTTCAGGGCAGGAAAAATAAATTGAAATCCACTTGCCCAGTGGGCCAGTAAATTTCAGTTTTCACCTTACCCTAATCAAATATTACTTACCCACGTGGTGGCCAGTATAGCAATCAGAGGGCAAACGCGAACAAAGTATGCTAGGATTCCTAACTAATCCATGCTTTCAACTCAATGGTTAACTAATCATGCAGTCTTAAGTTTTGAAATAGCTCCTGACTGTAAATTATCATTTATTAAGCTGACATTTTCATTTACACTAACAAGACTACTGAGGCTGATTTCGCTTGCCCACCAGGCCACTGAACTTCTATTTTCACTTGCCCAAGAGCAAAATTTACTTGCCCTGGGCAATTGGACCTGGGTTTTTTTCCTGCCCTACATGTTTGATATATTACTTCAATATTGCCAAGTGTTATCTTACCAAAAAGGTTTCATTGAACTCAAAGGAGCAAGGAAACTGCCTGGTGAGTTGGTGAACACAGTCAAGCCACTGAAGAAATACTGGACATCTCTGGTTTTCGTCATGATTCTGCCCGTGACCACACCTATCGGCAAAACGATGACCAAACTCCAACCACTCACGTGTCACCAATACTTGGAAGCCCTATCAGGAAACAACAACGAAAACATTCTATGGGAAAATTCTTGCATGAAAAGTGAAACCCATGTTGAATTTAGAAGGAAAGAATCACATTTCACAAACTGTTACAAAACAAGGAATTCAGTGTTGGCTTCAAAGCCAACTTGAATGTGGAGGTTATAAATCAAGTAATTTACCCTCAGTTGAGTGTCGTAAAACCAAAACCAAACAAATAAGACTATTCAACCAGTCTCAAACCAAAGTAAAACGAACACCAATGTAATTACCTGATTACTTTCAACGCTCAATTGAAAACTTTTTTATTTATTTATTTATTTTT